CTATAAAATATATAAATATATTATAATTAAACTAAAAATAGAAAAATGAAAATAATTTATTAATCAGTGATGAATTATTTGGCTAAACATATTAAAAAGTGTTTATTTATTTTGGTGCAATTAATTGGAATAATTGTTTCAATTCGTAATCAAATAAGTTTAGATGCACAAAAATTAAACAAAAAAAATCAAAAAACAATTTGTGAGATCTGAATCAATCAATTAATTCTCCAAACCCATTTGTTTTAAGTTTCAATTTCACAAATGTATTAATTAAAACAAACTAAATATAAATTGATAGTTAGTTAAATTACCATAGATCGAGATTCAAAGATGTTATATTTTGGCACTTCTCCAAGCTCATTCCAATGTTCTTAGCTCCATCTGCACCAAGGTTATTATAGCTATGAAAATAATAAATAATGAATGTGTTGAAAATAATGAAAATAAAATAGAAAAGTAATTAATAAATGGGTTAATAATGAATGATTTTGCTAAACATATTGAAAAGTGCTTATTTATTTATTTTTGATGCAATTAATTGGAATAATTGTTTCAATTCGTAAACAAATAAATTTAGATGCACAAAAAAAATTAAACAAAAAAATCAAAAACAATTTATGAGCTGTGAATCAATCAATTAATTCTCCAAACCCATTTGTTTTAAGTTTCAATTTCACAAATGTATTAATTAAAACAAACTAAATATAAATTGATAGTTAGTTAAATTACCATAGATTGAGATTCAAAGATGTTATATTTTGGCACTTCTCCAAGCTCATTCCAATGTTCTTAGCTCCATCTGCACCAAGGTTATTATCCCTATGAAAATAATAAATAATGAATGTGTTGAAAATAATGAAAATAAAATAGAAAAGTAATTAATAAATGGGTTAATAATGAATGATTTTGCTAAACATATTGAAAAGTGCTTATTTATTTATTTTTGATGCAATTAATTGGAATAATTGTTTCAATTCGTAAACAAATAAATTTAGATGCACAAAAAAAATTAAACAAAAAAATCAAAAACAATTTATGAGCTGTGAATCAATCAATTAATTCTCCAAACCCATTTGTTTTAAGTTTCAATTTCACAAATGTATTAATTAAAACAAACTAAATATAAATTGATAGTTAGTTAAATTACCATAGATTGAGATTCAAAGATGTTATATTTTGGCACTTCTCCAAGCTCATTCCAATGTTCTTAGCTCCATCTGCACCAAGGTTATTATACCTATGAAAATAATAAATAATGAATGTGTTGAAAATAATGAAAATAAAATAGAAAAGTAATTAATAAATGGGTTAATAATGAATGATTTTGCTAAACATATTGAAAAGTGCTTATTTATTTTTGATGCAATTAATTGGAATAATTGTTTCAATTCGTAAACAAATAAATTTAGATGCACAAAAAAAATTAAACAAAAAAATCAAAAACAATTTATGAGCTGTGAATCAATCAATTAATTCTCCAAACCCATTTGTTTTAAGTTTCAATTTCACAAATGTATTAATTAAAACAAACTAAATATAAATTGATAGTTAGTTAAATTACCATAGATTGAGATTCAAAGATGTTATATTTTGGCACTTCTCCAAGCTCATTCCAATGTTCTTAGCTCCATCTGCACCAAGGTTATTATTCCTATGAAAATAATAAATAATGAATGTGTTGAAAATAATGAAAATAAAATAGAAAAGTAATTAATAAATGGGTTAATAATGAATGATTTTGCTAAACATATTGAAAAGTGCTTATTTATTTATTTTTGATGCAATTAATTGGAATAATTGTTTCAATTCGCAAACAAATAAATTTAGATGCACAAAAAAAATTAAACAAAAAAATCAAAAAACCAATAATGAGAATAAGTAAATTAAAATAATAGTTTTGGAAACTAAAATTTTTAGTTTAAATTTAAAAAGGTAAAATATTTTTAATTTTTTTCTAAAAAAGATAAAAAATTTATGATAATCTATTATTAATTTTTAAATTAAATAGTTTTAAATGTTAATTAATTTTTTTATTTTGATAGTTCAAATAATAATTTTCAACTTTGATTTTATAATTATTTATTTTTATAAATATATACTTTCTTAAAAATAAAAACTTTTTTATTCATTGCTAATTTGCAAAATTTTTAATATTTTTTTAAATTAAAAAAATATAAAATTTGACTTAAAAACTTTTGCTTTGTATCAGAATTCTCCATACTACATATATTGTTTTTTAATTAATTAAACATAAATTCTTTCACTCTCAAACAGTTCAAAAAGCTTTATTTTTTCATTTTTAAAAGACTATTTATTTATTTTATTAAATCCAGCAATTAAAATTCCCTTGATGCCATATCATGGAATTTTAATTGCTGGAAGTGCTATAAATTAGTTATATTTTTTCAATTCGTTTTTATATTCAAAAATATCACAATCCAAAAGAAAACAAAACAAATAAACTGTTTTTACTCAAGATCGAGTGTCAAATTTTAGAGATTAGTACACTTTCCTAAATTAAAACCTAAATCTTATGCACGTTTATAACCAATTTAATTTAGTCTTTTTAAAATATTGAAGAAATTATATATTGTTAATTAGAAGGAAAAAACAAACAAAAATGTGAAATAATAAGAAATAAGTGAATGAATTAATTAAAAAATTAACTAAAAATAAAAA